GGCATGGCGGGCGACGTGGCCAGCAAGACGTTGGTGGCGGTGAAGTTCCATTGCCCCGAGGCTGGCCGCTACGGGGATCAGAGCGTGCCACGCTCGGTCAGAGCTCTGGCGGGATAGGCGAAGGTCGTCCCTCGCAACACGCGCCTGCCCGTGCCGTGCGTGCAGATGTTCGCCATCGTGGCCCACCTGCTATCGCGCCGCCTGATCGAGCAGGCGGCGGCCGCCCTGCTCTCTGTCCACGCGTATCTGCGGCCCGGCGAGTGCGATTCGCTGACCGCATTCCAGCTGGTGCCGCCTGTGGCTGCAGCGGGCCCCCAGGCCCTCTTTGGGGGCCTCCTCCTGGGCCCCGTGGAGCTAGAGAAGCCCACCGAGGTCGGTGCCTGGGACGAGAGCGCGGTGTTGGACGACCTCGACTTCTTGCACCGTTGCTTGACGAAGCTGAAGAAGAGGCGCCGCTCGCCAGACCAGCGAATCTGGAGCTTCGAACCTGGAAACGTCACGATCAGGATCCAGGAGGCTGCCGAAGCGCTGGGCGCGGCCGCCATGGGCATCACCGCGCGCGGCCTTCGGCGCGGCGGGGCCTCCCACGACCTGCTGGCCAAGCGCCAGGGCCCGCTGGAGGTCAAGGCGCGAGGCAGATATTTTGAAACGGCCCAGGTTCGACCTGAACCGCCGCGTCGTTCAGACGACGCTCTTGGGATGGATTTCGAGCAATGTGGTTTTGGCAATGTGGACGGGGACCCCTCGCTGCACCTGGCCCCAAGCCCGCCGCGGGCCGCCCGGCTGTAGTTGGTGCCGTCTGCGTAGTGCCGAGCATGTTTGGGGCCTCCCCAATCTGGACCTCCAGGCCTCAGAGGCCTGCAAGAGAGGGAACGACCAGCTGCGTTTTTGTATTCGGGTAGCTCGAGGCTGTCTTTGCGCGGGCACCCCTGTGGCCTTCGAGAACCCTGGGCCCAGCTGCTGGTTGTGGAAGGCCCCCCCCGCTCGAGCGCCTGGCACGTCACTCAACTAGCCAGGCCTGTATCGTGGATTACTGCGGCTTCGGAGCCCCATGGCGCAAGAGGACCAGGGTGCAAGTCTGGGCTCCCGGCTTTTCCATACAGCTCCCCGCGCTCTGTCATGGTCGAAATGGTGTATGCAGTCAATCGTTGAAACCCCACATCGTTTTAATTGAAGTTGGTCAGAGCTCGGGCAAACTTTGGACTCGCGATGCTGAGCCGTATCCCTCCCGTTTCTGTTTTTGTTTTGCCCGAGCTCTGAAACGAAGTATCGACTCGAACCGTCTAGTCCGTCTGCAACAGACCCGCTCTTTATAAGAATGCGGCAAATGCCAGAATCCCGCTCGGGGTTTTAGGGATCTTCTCTCTCTCGCCTCCTCGCTCGTTTGTGTTGTGTTGTGTTTTGGTGTGTGTGCCTCCTCTCGTTTCTCCTCTCTTGCTCTCTCGCTCGGCCGAGCTTAGTCCAGAAGCCTCCTTTTCTCGTTGGACCTGCCTGGCCTGAGACACCTTAGAGTCTCCTGGCCAAGTTGAGCGGCACGATGATGATGGTGATGATGATGTCGATGTTGATGATGATGATGATGATGATGATGATGATGATGATGATGATGATGATGATGATGACGATGATGATGATGATGATGATGATGATGATGATGATGATGATGATGGTGATTGTCGGTGATCGGTGATTGGTGATCAGTGGTATAGATGATGATGATGATGATGATGATGATGATGATGATGATGATGATGATGATGATGATGATGATGATGATGATGACGACGATGATGATGATGATGATGATGATGATGATGATGATGATGATGATGATGATGATGATGATGATGATGATGATGATGAGAATGATGATGACGGTGCTGCTGATGATGATGATGTGAAAATGAGAGAGTGGGTGAGGTCAGGACTGCGCGGGGTGTCCGCGGAAAGGAAAAGCCCCATCTCGGACGTGGGGAAAACAGATCGTCGGAGATCTGGGGCTGCTCCGAGCACCTGTGCTCCTGCGGCCCTCGTCAGCACCCCGCGGCGCCACTCACCCAGGGGGTCTCCGCGCCGCTGCGCCTCGCGTCGTGAGAACCACGCGACGGAAGGTTTCCGCCTATATAAGCCTCTGGGGGCCCTCGTCGTAGATGCTCGCTTTAAGGGACATTCGGGATATGTTCGACTGTAGTTCGACCCCAGTTCGATTCAAGTTCGGTTCAAATTCGACTCGGGTTCGACTCAGGTTCGTCTTAGGGTCGACTCAAGTCGACGGACGTTCGACGCAGCTTCGACGCACGAGTGGAGCGAGTGTCTCCAGGAAGGTCCCCAGAATGAGCGTCCAAGAAGGTTTTTTCCGGCAGACTGGCCCAGGAGAACGAGCCGAGACCTCCGTGGGGACACGCTGCGAACACACCAAGGCGTCGGGAAAGTTTGGGAGGCAGGCGCCAACGCGGCACGGGCGTCGAGGCCACGGCCGCGGCGCACCGGCGCCGCCGGCCGTATCCCTCTGGCGATGGCGGTACCGCACGGTCGCCCAGGCGGAGGACCGCCGGGCACCGCTGTCAGCCCTCGGTCAGCGAGGGTCTCGGCAAGGGCTTTCGTCGTGGTTCCTCGGAGGAGGAATTGGTAGTTACCCATACATAAAACACTGCCCTTGCCTCGTTTTTCGCCTTGTGGGCCTCCTCGGAGGCCCTCGTCGCCACGGCTTGATTCGCCTCGAAACCTTGGTCAGAACGCACCCGGGGGAGGGCTGGGGAGCAGCGGTATCAGGACCTTTTGGCTTCCGCATCTTCGTGGTTTACTCGGCCGCCCCCCTCGGGTGCTGCTAGAAGTGCAGTCAAAAACCCTAATTATCCTGGCGAAGGACCCAACCATATGCAATTGTGAATACTGCAATTGTGAATATCTTCTCGGTGGAGCCCCCTACGGGGCCACGAAACGTACGAGGGGTGTGCCGAAATGGGTGTGCGGGACGCATGCGGGCACACCCACTGGGGCCTTCGGTGGAGCTCTCCATGGGGCCAAGAAACGTGTGAGGGGTGCCGAAATGGGTGTGCGGGACGCATGCGGGCACACCCACTGGGACCTTCGGCGGAGCTCCCTATGGGGCCACGGAAACGTGTGAGGGGTGTGCCGAAATGGGTGTGCGGGACGCATGCGGGCGCGGGCACTGGGGCCTTCGGCGGAGCTCCCTATGGGGCCACGAAACGCGTGAGGGGTGTGCCGAAATGGGTGTGGCTGACGCATGCGGGCGCGGGCACTGGGGCCTTCGGTGGAGCTCCCTATGGAGCCACGAAACGTGTGAGGGGTGTGCCGAAATGGGTGTGGCTGACGCATGCGGGCGCGGGCACTGGGGCCTTCGGTGGAGCTCCCTATGGGGCCACGAAACGTGTGAGGGGTGTGCCGAAATGGGTGTGGGGACGCATGCGGCCGCAGCCACTGGGGCCTTCGGTGGAGCTCCCTATGGGGCCACGAAACGTGTGAGGGGTGTGCCGAAATGGGTGGTGGGGACGCATGCGAACGCAGCCACTGGGGCCTTCGGTGGAGCTCCCTATGGGGCCACGAAACGTGTGAGGGGTGTGCCGAAATGGGTGCGGCGCCGCCATGCCAACGCAGCCACTGGGGCCTTCGGTGGAGCTCCCTATGGGGCCACGAAGCGTGAGAGGGGTGTGCCGAAATGGGTGTGTCTGACAGATCGGAAGCGCGGGCACTGGGGCCTGTCGTGGAGCCCCCTATGGAGCCACGAGAGCGTGTGCGGGTGTGCCGAAATGGGTGTGGCAGACGCATGCGGGCGCGGGCACTGGGGCGGCCTTCGGTGGAGCTCCCTATGGGGCCACGAAACGTGTGAGGGGTGTGCCGAATTGGGTGTGGCAGACGCATGCGGGCGGCAGCACTGGGGCCTTCGGTGGAGCTCCCTATGGGGCCACGAAACGTGTGAGGGGTGTGCCGAAATGGGTGTGCGGGACGCATGCGGACGGCAGCCATGGGGCCTTCGGTGGAGCTCGCTATGGGGCCACGAAACGTGTGAGGGGTGTGCCGAAATGGGTGTGCGGGACGCATGAGGGCACACCCAGTGGGACCATTGGTGGAGCTCCCTATGGGGCCACGAAACGTGTGAGGGGTGTGCCGAAATGGGTGTGGCTGACGCATGCGGGCGCGGGCACTGAGGCCTTCGGTGGAGCTCCTTATGGAGCCACGAAACGTGTGAGGGGTGTGCCGACATGGGTGTGGGTGACGCATGCGGGCGCGGGCACTGGGGCCTTCGGTGGAGCTCCCTCTGGAGCCACGAAACGTGTGAGGGGTGTGCCGAAATGGGTGTGGGTGACGCATGCGGGCGCGGGCACTGGGGCCTTCGGTGGAGCTCCCTATGGAGCCACGAAGCGTGTGAGGGGTGTGCCGAAATGGGTGTGGGTGACGCATGCGGGCGGGCACTGGGGCCTTCGGTGGAGCTCCCTATGGAGCCACGAAACGTGTGAGGGGTGTGCCGAAAAGGGTGTGGGTGACGCATGCGGGCGCGGGCACTGGGGCCTTCGGTGGAGCTCCCTATGGAGCCACGAAACGTGTGAGGGGTGTGCCGAATTGGGTGTGGGTGACGCATGCGGGCGCGGGTACTGGGGCCTTCGGTGGAGCTCCTATGGGGCTACGAAACGCTGTACTGGGTGGGTGAAGCGCAGGGAAGAGGGGGAGGAGGGAGGAGGAGGAGGAGGAGAGGAGAGGAGAGGAGAGGAGACGCGGGGACTGTTTCTTCAAAACGAGGGCCCAACACCACAGGATGGTTGGGAATAAGGATGCGCGGTAAGGACGCAAGACCCTTGGAAGCCGAAGTTGGGATTTCTGGGGCGGCGGACGACGAAAACCTCAAGGACGCAAGAGCAAGGAAGAGCAAGGACGCAAGGGTACCCTGAGCAAAGTCGCGCGCGCGCGAACATTGAGCGAAAAGCTGGGGGCACCTTGGGCCAGGGACACCTGGAGCAACCCCCGACCCCCCCCGCCCGAAGGCGAGTGAGCGTCTGTCGGCCGCATGAGCGACGCCGCAGGGCCGCCGCCGGGGGGCGCGACAGGCCAGCGCCGGGCAGCGGCCGCGCGCGCTGGACGAGCGTGCTCCCAAATGGCGGCGCCGTGCTGTCGGACGAGGGGGTCAAGCAGTGGCGAAGCGTCCTGGCTCGCCTATAGGCCTACCAACAATGTTCTAAGAACCGTTTGTGGTTTCCCACGAAATGTTCTTAGAGCATTTCTGGCTGGGCCTTTCTTGTTTTAGCACATCGGGTTGATGATCTAAGGACATTGCTTTCGTTATTACAACACTTCTGGGTTCTAAGAACATGTCGTTGTAGGCCTATAGGAATGCCGGGACGGTCGGTCCCTGCTCAAGGGGGGGAGATCCAGTCCGCCCAAATTGGACCAGAGCAGGTGGTCAGAGCCCCGAAGCATCAGGGGTAACTCGGGCCAGGGCTAACTCGGGTTCGTGTTTCGGGAGTCCGAACCCGAGTTTACCCGAGGCCCGAATTACCCCAGATAATTCGGGAGCCCAGAGCCCCGAATCATCAGGGGTAACTCGGGTCAGGGCTAATTCGGGTTCGTGTTTCGGGAATCCGAACCCGAGTTGCCCCGGGTCCGAGTTACCCCTGATAATTCGGGCGCCACAAGGCATTCATGGAGGATCGTGGCCTTTCATTGAAGGTTTGCCCCCAGGGCTGTTCAGTCGATGTTTGCCCCCAGTGGTGTAGCATGCGTTCCTGTCGCGCGGCAGGTTGAGGCGGCTGGAGGTTCCACCCTGGTGTCTCCGCTCCCGAATCCTCCCTCCAGAAAAAGGTGTGCTTTCGGAGGATCGCGCGGCACCGCCGATGCCTCTCGGGGGCCTCTTGAGCCGTCTTGGGGCTCTCTTTGCACGTCTGACGCATTCGGAGGAAATCTTTGAGGCCGCTGTGGGCCGTCCTGGGGCCCTCTTGGGGCGGTGTTGAGGGCCTGTGGCGACTTTGGGGCTGTTTGTGGATTATCTTTGAAGCATCTGGGGCCGTCAAGTCAATGGCTGCCGGAAACCTAGGAATGCCAGAACGCCAGAGTCTTTTAACAACCTAGCGGAAATCATTGGTTTGGGCATCTTCGGGCACTCCTTGAACGGCCTCTTGGGGCATCAGTATCTGGGGCCTCTTGTTGGGCCGCTTTGATGCCAGCTGAGGCCGTCTTGGAGCCATCTGTGACCCTGTTGGGGCCGTCTTGGCCGAGGAAGGAGACCATCGAGGAACCCTTGGAGGACATCTTGGGCCCTCTTGGCCGTCGTGGGGGCTCTTGGGATCGTTGTGGGCGGGACCGCCGACGGAGGGCTGCCCAACTGGGTGTTTCCGCGTGGCCGCCGGATCGGCCGAGCCCCCCTTTTTCGGGAAAATGTTGGAAGGGTTCGAACGAGAGTGTTTTTTGTACCCTCTGGGCCACAACGCGCGTTATGCCCCCTACCCTCCCCCCCCCTTCCCCCCCCCATGACGTAACGCTCCCCCCCTCAGTGCGTCCAAGGTACTGCCGCAGTGCGCCTGGCACCACAGTTTGGGGGGAGGGAGGGGGGGGGCGCTACGTTGTGCCCCCTCCCGCCCCCCCTTCCCCCCCATAAAGCCCGGTATGGCCGCGCATAGAAAATGCGCTCGAACGGTGAACGTCCAGCGTGCCGCGCACCCCTTGTGGCAAGCAGCAGTGGGCGGCGGATCGAAGACGCTTACAGCAAATTACCGCCGTTCCCTGCTTTTGGCCAGCCGCGCGCTGGGGGGGAGGGGGAGGGGGGAAGGCTTCTTAGAAGCACCCCTGCTTCTTAGAAGGCGTGGGCCTTGTCTATGGATGTTGGGCCGGCGCTTTCTAAGAAGCAGCCTCCTTCGAAGAAGCCTTCCCCCCTCACCCTACCGCCTTTGTGCGAGCCGCCAATTCTGGAAGCGCCTACGTGGCCCAACGCCAGAGCTCGGCCAAACTAGATCGGACGATCCGTTCCTCCAGCAATCGAGAAGCCCTTCGGAGAAATGTGGGGGAGAAGGAGCAAGGGGAGGAGAGGGCGTCTA